CTTCCTTCCTTTCTTCTTTCCCTTGCTTTCTTCTTTCCCTCCTTTCTTCCTTCCTTCCTTTCTTTTTTCCTTCCTTTCTTCTTTCCCTTCCTTCCTTCCTTCCCTCCTTTGACAAGCATTTATTACTTCAGGCAAGACATAGTACCTAGGTATTGGAGTAGAGATAAGGATAACTAGGATGTGGTTGTTCATTCAGAAAGAGTTCCAGATTAAAATGAGAGCACCTCATTTGACTAAATATTTTGTATCTTTTCTTTCTCGCTAGTGCACCTTCCACCCCTGCTTCCGAGGAGTACGCTGCGTGAATCTGACTCCAGGTTTCAGATGTGATTCCTGCCCCATTGGCTTCACAGGACCAATGGTGCAGGGGGTGGGGGTCACGTTTGCCAAGACACATAAGCAGGTGAGCTAGGACTCCAAGGATGGGCTTCTTTTCTTTTGTATTCCTCCCCTCCTCACTTAGTAAAACTTGGAATGAATCTTGCTCTTTCATGTCTTTTTCAGAAACTAGTCATTTGGCCTGCCTGGGTGATTATCACATGTTGAAGATAATAATGCACACCAGGCCACATCTGTATTATTTTTTCACTCCTCTCTGATTTATGGATTTCTAGGAGGAAGGGAGGGAGGGGGCAGCTGTTCAGTGACAGAAACCTGGTGGTGCTGAGTTTGAGAGATGACTTGCGGCTCACTGGGTTTACACCAGTAGAACATCTTGATGTTCAGATCCATCCCTTGGGCATCAAAGGGTAAAAGAACATAAGCAACAGAAGAACTTTAAAAGGGAAGATAAACTTGTATTTATGTTCTGTTTACTGCAGCTAGGGAGGATGTGAAAAAGTAAAAGAATAGCCCCATCCTCTTCAATAGCATTTACAAGTCACAAACTGCACTAAAATCCTAGAGCATTCTATGACATTCTCCACTTGTTTCCAAATATACTAGAATATCCAGGTCATTATTAAACTGACTGACTGTGAAACTTTGGGAGGGATGTTTTCAGCATTTTTTAGATGGTTGATCTTCAGATGGGCTTTTACTACCTTGGGGAAATCATTAGGTATGAAGCGGAGCAGGAGGCATCATTATTTCTGAGTTATCCCATTCCTCATTTCCAGTGGGGACAGTTTGTTAGACCAGAGAAGAGAAGGGAGTATTGGGAGAGAGAGACAGAAGGTAATAAGGCTGAATTACAGTCATCAGATGGATGCGTGAGTGATGGGGAGAAGCTTATCTTTGCCTCCATTGAAGACAAAACAAAATAAAATGGGCTTAAATTGCTGTAGGATGTATCTGAGTCTAGCCATCAGAAAAAACTTCCTGCTCATAAAGGTTGCAGGACAGGGGACTGAATTACCAAAGGATGTTAGGGAGTCTTCTCTGGCTATTTTAAACCATGGACAGCTGTCCACTGGAGATTTGAGGCTAGTCCTGCTGAAAGGTGGGGGTGGCCCAGATGGCCTTCCCATCCATAATTCTGGAATACTTCACATCACACAAAGCTATCGAGACAACTAAGAGTGGTTTGCGTGCTTTCTTTCTCAACTAAGAGCCCTCTTTTATGTTTCTGCACTAGATCTGCTCTGATATTGATGAGTGTAGAAATGGAGCCTGTGTCCCCAATTCTATTTGTATTAACACTGTGGTAAGTATTTTCTGCAACTGTTTCTAAAGCACAATAATTTTGGTAGGGGAAGGAAGGGAAAAAAAAGAAATTTATGTGATAACTTTATTATATATTTAAAAGGAATAGCAAGTTGTACATAATAGATTTGCAGTTTCATGTGCAATCTTCTTTTTTATTATACTGTGTTATGGAAATGTTCGCTTTATTCCATAAATTTTTTAAAAGCACGATAATTTGCCAAGCTGATTGTGTGTGTGTGTATAGGCTGTAACCACAAAACTCAACTATAACACATGGATGTAATAATATTTGTGACGGACCAAACGAGAACAAAAGTTTATACAGAGAATTGACAAGCCACCCACGTCCTCTCACTTCCAGTCGAGCATCAGTGTGCTTTTGAATACAAGCATATGATAGAATTATCTTTAAGATACTTATTCTTTAAAGATGGTGATATTTAAAAGGCATTTCCTGTTGCTATCGCAGTTCCAGAGTGCTCAGAGCTCAGTGCTTTTGAAGGGACCCAGAGGACGATGTGTCCTCACAGCTGCACCTCTAACTCCTCTGGGACATGCTTCAGAATCCCTGCATGCTACAGAGAATGGCTTGGCATGCCAGGGTACTTTCTGAAATGCATTTAGCTGCTATGATTTAATCATTTCAGTCCTTACCCGCACATTTCTGAAAATTCCTGTCAGCTGTTTCTAAGCGAGTGAGGTCAGCAAGCCAGACAGCAGGCTAGGCATGGAGGAGCCATTGTCTAACTGCCATGTGGTCCCCAGGCGAACTATTCAAACTCTCACTTCCCCAGCTTCCTTGCATGTGAAATCAGCCTAAGGATACATGGGTTTGTGGAAAAGCAATAAAAATAAATGGGAAACAGTTGGCAAAAATGGAGAGCTAACGGGAGCTTCATAGCCCATGGGACCTACCTCCACCCTGACATGTTGTTTATAAGGAGATGAAATAAAGTGACTGTTTTCTAAGAGTTTTCTTTCCCAGCCTGCCCTTATCACATGTTCACTGGAGGTAGCATGGTATAGTGGAAAGACCACTGTACTCGGAGTCCCCAGAGACCTGAGTTTGAATCCTGCCTCAAGCATTTGCTAGCATGTGACTGTGGGTAATCACTCTAAGCCTCAGCTTCCTCTTCTGGATTGTATGATGGGGATAATTCTCATCTCATGAGGCTATTGTGAAGATCATTTTAGAGGACCGTAGAAAGCATTTGGTGAATCTTAAGGTGCATGATCGCAGCCAGTCCTTCTTGTTTTATTTTAAGTAAAACCACAGCCCAACTCACAGAGTCTCTCCTCAGAGCTGCAGATGTTTCTTTCAATGCCTGGACCGATGTCTAGTGGACAAAGGAATACCTACATTTTTCTTGTGCTCCTGGAAGGAAGCCTTCTAACTCCACTGGAAAGCTCAGCCCCTTCTAACAGTTCAGGCCTGCTATTTCTCAATTGAGGAAACCGAGACCAGGAGAGGCAAGTGACTTGTCCGGAGTCCCACAGGAGAAAAATAGCAGTTGACATTTGAGCACCTAATTCTCCACCCAGTGTTCTTTCCACAGAGACCACATAATTGTGTCTTCTCCTTATGCCTTACCTACTGTGGGATAGAAAGGAAAGTAGATGGAGAAAAAAGCCACGCAAGCAACAGACAGTTCCCTATCATGACTCTCTTTCCCATCTGCCTGGTCTATGACACCTTACGATTGGGTGGTATCTTCACAGGCATTGTCTCAGGAGGCAGAACTGATGGTCTGAGGAACTTGCACAAAACAGCAAAGATGGAGCTTCATCTCAATAGAAATGCAATTGACTTAATCCTCCTATTATGAAAATCAAATGAGAACATATTTAAAGCAACTTTTCAATTTATATAAATGATGCTATAAAAATGATAGCCATTATTATAATAAAACACAGAAAGCAATACTAATAATGATGATAGTAACGCCCCTTGTCTACAGCATTATTTCATCTTAGATAGAATCCAGGGCAGCTAGGTGGTGCAGTAGATAGAGTACCAGCTCTGGTCTCAGAAGGCTCTGAGTTCAAATCTAGCCTGAGATATTTACTAGCTGTGTCACCCTGGACAGGTCACTTACCCCCATTTGTTTCCCAGAAAAACAAACAGTGGATCCAGGGAGATCGAGATTCCTTTTTAGAATGTAAACTCCCTGAGGGCAGGGACTGTTTCATTTATTTTCTACATATCCCAGGCACCTGGTACAATGCTTGGCACATAATAGGTGCCTAATTAATGCTTACTGATTGACTGATCTGTGGCAGCTAGGTGGCACAGTGGATGGAGTAGCAGCCCTGAAGTCAGGAGGATCTGAGTTCATATCTGGCCTCAGACCAAACACTTGACACTTACTAGCTGTGTGACCCTGGGCAAATCATTTAACCCCAATTGCCTAAAAAAAAAAAAAAAACCCAACAACGACAACAAAAAAAACCAAACCAGACTGACTGACTTATTGACTGATCATTCTGTTGGCTTCTTTACAGGGATCTTATCAGTGTGGCCCATGTAAGTCTGGGTTCACTGGAGATCAGATCAGGGGATGCAAAACTGAACGAAACTGCAAAAACCCAGAACTGAATCCGTGCAGTGTGAATGCCCAGTGTATTGAGGAGAGGCAGGGAGGTGTGACCTGTGTGGTGAGTTATCACTTTGCTTTTCAACTTCTGAGATTATTCCTTTACCCAGCTTCCTCTGAGTGCAAGTACTCAAGAAGAAAACATTAATCAAAGTGTGCAAAATGTGAAACTACCATTGCTATGAAAAATAAATGATAGCTCTTAAACCCAAGTCTTTAAGAAACGACCCTGTTTGAGAAGGCCGGTTGACAGAAATAGCAGCTGAGATAATAAATTATGGAAATGGGTGAATAAATCAGTAAAAAAAAAAAATGTTCCTCAGCTGTCCTCAGACTTCAGACCTTCTGCTCCTCTTAGATGGCAGAGGATCTGCCTAGGACTCTGCTATTAGACAATCAAGCATGCAACCAGCCGATCAACATGCGTGTTTAAGCCCCTTCCATGTGCTGGGCTCTAGGGATACAAAGTCAACAATGTAACAACTCCTGCCCTCAAAGAACTTATGTTCTAATGGGAGAAGCATAGAAGAATACAAAACGTAAATGCAAGGTAATTCTGGGAGAGAGGCATCAGCAGCTGGGGTGGGGGTCAGGGTGGTGGGTCAGGGAAGGTCCCCCAACAGGAAGGATTTAGGCAAAGCCTTCATTCCAAAAGGCAGAGGGGAGGAGGGACGGCTTCCCAGGCACAGGAAACAGAGCATAGGGAAGGACAAGGAAATGGGAGATAGAATCAGCCTAAAATGACATGTTGGAGCGAGATTGTGAGGGACTTTAAAGACCAAACAGAGGAGTTTGTATTTTTTCACAGAGGCAATAGAGAAACTATGGGAGTTTCTGGAGCAGGTGAGTGACATGGTCAGAACTGTGCTTCGAGAATATTCACTAGGTATCCGTGTGGAGGACGGATCGGCAGGGCATGAGCCTAGGGGTAGGGAGGCTACCTAACAGGGTGTTGCAAGCATGCAGGGAAGAGGTGCTGAGTGTCTGAGCTAAAGCCATCCTGAATGAGTGGAGGTTAGGAGAAGGATGCCAGAGATGTTATGGCAGTAGAATTAACAAACACTTGGCAACTGATTGGTTACAGGTGCAGAAAGAGATTGAGGAGACCTTGGGTGGTCTGGGAAGGCGACCTGATTCACCTGAGGGGCAAGTCAATCTTTTTTTTTAATTGGCTCTTTCTCAGAAAAGGTATGCCAATACAGAAAGTCTATCAGGACAACTGAGCATCATTTATCTGGAGTCTGGAAGACCTGAATTCAAATTCTCTCTCAGATAGTAGCTGTGTGACCCTGGGCAAGTCACTTAACCACTGTCTGCCTCAGTTTCCTCAACTGTAAAATGAGGATAACTTAACTCCTCAGGTGTTGTGAGGATCAAATGAGATAATGTTTGTAAATTGCTTAGAACAGTGCTAGGAACATAGTAGATGTTCAGTAAATACTTGTTCCTTCCACCTTTCCTAATGCTGACTCCAGTTTCAGCTCCTTATCTAGATTGACTCCAAAAGGAAAGGGCTATAACCTCTCCCTCCCCCGCTCAACAGACACATTCACTGAGAGTCTTCTGGGATTCTCTGAGTGATTCCCAATATCAAAGGAGAAGTCTTTTTGTTCCTCTATAAATTTTTTAAAAATACATGATGATCACCCCAAACTGCTAAGCAGGGTACTGTGTGGGCAACATCAAAGACCTGGTGCTTGCCTGGACTAGTGGTAATTTGCAGAATCACAGCACCACCTTATGGCTGACCCTTGGAAATGCACCTATCTCCCGCATCTTGGGTAAAAACCAGACTCCTTATGCCAGAGCCAGCCAGGATCATAGATTTAGAGCCAAAAGGGATCCTTAGCGGTAATCTCGTCTAATCCTCTTACTTTACAGTTGAGAAACTGAGCTTCATGAGAGGTGAAGTGATGACTTTTCCAAAGTCACAATCAAATTGTAAGTGGTATAGTCAGGATTTGAACCCAGGTCCCCTGACTACAAATTGAGTACATTTTCCACTATATCATGCCTTAGAAATATTCCCTTTCCCCCTTGCCGCCCCCTCCCATCCTCCTCCTACATAACCTCTAGCTGAAAAGTCTCCTGGAGTGACTATTCCTAACTGACAAGCCTACCCAGCAGAAGGGAAAAGACTGAAAATTACCCAGGGAGTGACATGGAGGCAGGCTCCTTCTTGCTCTCCAAATCCCATGCTTCCAAGGACTTTCAGGTCTCTAAGAGCCAAGTCAGCAGACTTCTTAAATGGCTCACCTTCAAGCATCACCCGCCTCCCCCACATATCCTTCCCAAGAGATGTGGGGATTTATTTTCACCAGGAGGTGAGCAAAGGCACTTAGTGTAGAAGCCTTTAAAGCAACTAATCCAGAGGTCTTGTGAAAAGACCAGGTCACTGGGGGAGACAATGCATTAGAGGAAAAAAATTTCCCTAATTTACTGTGCTGCCTTCTCTCTAAAGAAGAATCACCGGGTAGCAGCCTGCCTCTATAGCTAAATCATTTTCCTGTGCCCTACTTGAGGATGCAGTGGGATGGTGGGTGGTGGGACTTTTAATGTGTTTTTGAATTTGTAATGAGAGGCAGCAGCAGATGGTAAAGGATTAATAAGCTTCATGTGACTACTAAAATAATTTAATCTGCCAAAAAATGGCTCATTAAAAATGTATTTTTTCCTAGAGGGCTCTTTCTTCATTAAAGTAAATCAGCCACCACGAGGCACCGTTGAGAGTTCAGTGCCCTCTACGAGGAACGCTCCAGGCTGGAGCTGAGCACAGATCGGGGGGAAAGGGGGAATAGCGTCACTCTTAGAATAGAATACCTCAGAGTCCCCTAGTTTCAAACAGCCATCTCTAGGGACTGAAAAGGAACAGTCCCTGGCAAGTAGAGTCTATGGTCTCAAATGGACTTCTCTGGATTTGAATAAGAACCATAAAAATTAACACCGAACTCCAGTTGCTTCCTTTTCACTCTATTTCCATTTCATTGGGCTCTCTATTTTGCCTCTGACCTCCAACTCTCTCCTTTGACCCCTGTCTTTCTACAGTTCTTTTTTTTCCTCTTAGCTTCACTATTTTCTTCCCACTTTTCCTTATCTCCTGCCTCCTCCCTTCCCCTGAATCTTAAACCTTCACTCTTCTCCATTGCTTGACTGCCCTTTGCTCCCTCCAGGGACCTCCTCCCATAGCCTTGCTTGACCCCTTGGACTCTCCTGAACTTGGTTGCCAAAGTCGATGGTCTTCTCTCTCTTCCCTTGCTGTCATTTTTTGGCCGTGCTTAGGTAGAATGTTAGGAGACCAGGGGAGAAAGCCCCTGGATAGACCTATTGTGCTAACTCAGGATGTTGGCTCCCAACTCGTTGTGATGCTGTAGTCCATCACAAGTCTGAGGAAGCAGGTGAATTCAGAGCAACCATCTTTCCAGTCTCCTTGACCTTTTTACTCCCTTGTCCCATACTCTGATCCAGACAAACTGGCCTTCTCTCTGTTCCTCACACAGATATTCCCCCTCCTGTCTCTTGCCTTTGCACTGGCCTCCCCCAGTTCTCCCTGAAATGTTCTCCCTCCTTACCTCTTAGAATCCTTCTCCTCAAGACACAGTTCAAACATCATCTTCTGGATGAAGCCTTTTCAGACCCTACCTTCATCCTAAGTACTATTGCCCTCCCTCCCAGAATACCTTGTATACTTGTTCTTATTGATTTTATTTTTTCTGTGTGTGTACATACATATATATATATACACACACACACACAGACACATTCACATATATATATACATTTATACATACACATGAGTACATGCATGTATATGTGAATATGTACACATATTTGTGGTGTTGTTGAATCATTTTCCTGTCATGTCCAACTCTTCATGACCCCATTTGGGGTTTTCTTGGCAAAGATACTGGAGTGGTTTGCCATTTCCCTTTCTAGTTTATTTTACAGATGAGGAACTGAAAGTGGCTTGCCCAGGGTCACAGAGTTGATAAGTGTCTGAGGCTAGATTTGAACTCAGGAAGATGGAGTCTTCCTGATTCCAGGCCTGGCACTCTATCGATTGTGCTATCCAGCTTCTCTATAAACACATATATTCTTATCATTTTTCTCCATAGAATGTAAGTTTCTTATAAGGATTGTTTCATGCTTTGTACTTATATCCTCAGCACCTAGCCCAGTATCAAGTATATAGTGTGTGCTTAATAAATGCTTGTTGTTTGCTTGCTTACTTGATTGATTGATACTAAAAACAAGAGACTGAGTCAGTGCTCAGGCCTCAGAAGGTTTTTGCTCTGGTAAAAATCAACTTAGATGATTGTTACATTCTAAGGAGTGACTGTGATTTAAGCTCCACAGGTACACTGTCAGAAGAGCAGTCAGGAATGGGGTGAGAAGCCCACACAGTAAAGCTGTTTGGATTCCTGGGGCTTCAGGGTTGGGTTAAGCAGGAGTTGAAATGTTGGCCAACTGGCACCAAGCTTCACTGCCTGACTTCCCTAATGGAGTTTCTCTTCACAGTGCGGTGTTGGTTGGGCTGGTGATGGATTCATCTGTGGAAAGGATGTCGACATTGATAGTTACCCCGACGAGGAACTGCCATGCACTGGAAGGAATTGCAAAAAGGCAAGTAGAATGTGAGGAAGACATACTTGTGGTTTTCACACAACCACAACCACATCCTGGTTAGGAAGGGTCTCAGCAGAACCTTCCCTTCCCTTACACGCTCCCAGATAATTCCATCTCAAATGAAGCAAATGTGCCATTAACAACAAGGTAGGTCAATCTTCTCCATAGAAATTATGTCTGTCCTTCAGACAGATGTCAAGCGGAGCTTAACGAGGGTAGTACAGCTGGTGTTTGCCTCAAGGTGCTGAAAGCATGTGAACTCCTACAGCAAGCAGAAATTGCTAAACTTAGCACATAGTTAGTAATCATTTTTTTTTTTACTGGGCCCATGATTTTATCAGCATAGAGACATTGTATGACACTTCCACAACCCAAAACAAGCTCCTTCCCAATGATGTCCCACCCAGCTTACTCTATTGGAGGTGGCTTCCCCAGCAGTGGTCCCTGAATATCCTCCAGTCTCTCCACATATGTGGTCTTGGATCCTAAGGTCCAAATTTTCCTGGCCACCCTCTTTTTTTTGGCTATATTTGTCTATAAAAGGCAAATTTCATTTTGAATTCAAACTTCAATTTTCAATGCCTCAGACATGATTTGCCCCAAGTATCAGAACCACTGACAGCCTTGATCTTAGGTATAATTTTAGGCAATGTTTCCCCACTTAGGATAACTGCAAATATGTGCCAAACTCTGGTCAAGAAGATGCAGATAGAGATGGCATCGGAGATGCTTGTGATGAAGATGCTGATGGGGATGGAATCAACAATGAGCAGGTGAGGGTTTTCTTCCAAGGAAATGTGTGTTTTCAAGTGCCCAATAGCAATGCAGGGAAATTGCAGTTTTGTAGCAGTATTTTGGAGGATTCATACATAGAACTGTAACTCTTGCGTTAGACTATGTGCAATGTAAAAATACCATCTGTGAGATTCAGAAAGCCCCAATACACATAACAAGGCCAAGAAGATTTGCATTTGGTTTGTTTTTTTTTTTCTTTTTAGGATAACTGTGTCCTGACTCACAACGTTGACCAGAGAAACAGCGACCAAGATATCTTTGGAGATGCTTGTGATAATTGTCGAACCGTCATAAATAATGACCAGAAAGATGCTGATGGGGATGGAAAAGGAGATGCCTGTGATGATGACATAGATGGAGATGGTGAGTTATTCTTCTCTGTTCCTTGATTTTAACCTTATATATCTTACTGCTCTTAAAGCCCCTACTGGTAGCTAAGTGGCACAGCTAGTAAGTATTATGTGTCTGGGGCCAGATTTGAACTCAGGTCCTCCTTCCACTTCTCCCTGCTGTTTCTGACTAAACTTGTTTCTCTGGCACCGGGACATAATTTGGGTCATATATGCAATTTTCAGTGTGAGATCTAAATGTCACCATGTTAGACACACACCTCTATCAGTTTAGAAAATACCAAAAAGCGTTGTGGAATAGCGGGCAGAGAACCTGGATTTGAATCCTAACTTTGCCCTTTTCTGTCAGCGTCTTTTGGCAAGTCATTTCATTTCTTCTGGCCTCAGTTTCTCCAGCTGTAAAATAAGGAGGTTGGACTAGGTCACCCCTAAGGTTTCTTCCTGCCCTGGCCATGATCCTGTGAAACTGTGAGGTAATTTCAGCTGCTGCAAAGAGACTTTCTTTTCCCCAGGAATTAAGAATATTTTGGATAACTGTCAAAAAGTCCCCAACCGAGACCAAAGGGACAAAGATAACGATGGTGTCGGGGATGCCTGTGACAGCTGTCCTGATGTCAGCAACCCTAACCAGGTGGGTCGGATGCCGGTGTTTGAGTGTGAGCAGTTCTAGGGAATCCAAGGCTCTATGTGTAACTCTCTGTACAGAGATCCATTTAGGATCACCATCAAAGAAAACAGCCAAGTGCACCTTTGGCACATCTCCCTTAACCTATTTCCTGGCGTCTCTGAGCAATGAAACACACGTGTTTTCAAAGGGGGAAAAATGGGACCAGATAATCTCTGCAGCCCTCTGGGATTTGGTCCTCATTTCTCTGTCCCTGAAAGGTAGGCTGGCGACGGCCTGCTCATTCAGGGAAATGACATTCGTGCTGATCAACCAGAATCCCTTTGGATAGGATGAAGATGAGATGTGGCTCCTTTCCTCCCCCCCAGCAGGGCCCACACTTGGACCTTTCTGATTAAACGCCATCGCTTACTTGTTAAGTTTCCTTTTCTACTCCCCCTCTTTGACTAGATAATGTGGGACGGTGCGGCATTTTATTTTTAAAGCTTGGAGAAGAGGGAGCCATAGGCGAACAATGACTCATCACCTTGGTTCTCTTCCAAATATAAAAGCGATACAAAATCCATTGGCCCTGTCCTCCCTTGCCACTGCTGGGTGTCAGGCCTTGTGCCAGGGCTGGTGGCTGGCTCCACAGCACCCCCAGCCGCCACCCAGCTACCTCTCAGCTCTTTTATAATTAGCTCGTGTGGTGTGTGGGTAGCCCAGCCACATAGCTTGATATTTTAAAAGGTTTTTAAAAAATCCAACAATGTGCCTACACCAATATGGTGTTGTCCTTTTGCAGTTTTACAGAGTATCGATTCCGGATATATCATTCCCCAGACTTAATGTTAAGCCAGGCTTGGATTTGGGGGAACATTCTTGTTGGAACGGTCCTGTACTAACAGTGTTTTGTTTTATCCGCAGTCCGATGTGGATAATGACCTGGTCGGGGACTCCTGTGACACCAATCAGGACAGGTATAGTACACCTCCCAGCTATAAGAATAGCTTAGAAAGGAAAGGAAAGGAAAAAGAAAGGAAAAGGCAGGAAGAACATGTTAGTTTTCAAACTTTCTGCCACCAACCTGCTTTGAGAGCCTTCCTGATGGTAGGGAGCTGGCAATGAGTCTCTGGGCCCAAAGTCAGGAAAAGTACATATCTCATAAGCAGCCCTAAAAATTCTCAGACAAGCTTGGTCCCTGTCATGATGAAGCATAGACCAGGTGAAAAGAAGAAATTCCAGTGCAAGAAATTTAGAGACTGTTCTCTTTGCTCAAGGGAAATCTCAGTGTACCATAAACAGTGCAGAATGTGTCTGAGTTGATGTTTCATTAACTTCAGGATTTCATTAAGTGGACTTGATTAGTAGATACTTTTTTTTTTTTGGTTGGGGGAAGAAAGAGGAGAGGGGAAAGAGAAACAGGGAGGGAGAGAGAAAGGGAGAAGGAGTTATGGAGAGGGAGGCAGGGATGAAAGGAAGCAGACAGAGAGGGAGGGAGGGAGGTAGAGAGAAAGAGAGGCAGGAAGGGAGGTGGAGGGAAGGGGCAGTGGGAGGGAGGGAGGTGCAAAGAATGAGGCAGAGAGAGAAGAATGAAGACAAAAATATCACCATCTCTTCCCTAGAGGAGCTTAAAACCATTTACTAGTCCTAGCCTTTTCTACCTCCTTGGGAAATCTTTACAGAAGCCAGGAAAGGAACAAGAGAGGGAGTGAATTTCCTCCATTCCCTGCTAGGCCATAATACCACACTGCATTTGTGTGTCATTCTTCATTTCCTTTTGGGTCTACAGAGTAAAGAGGAGTGATGAGTGAGAGACTCATAAATGGAGTCTCCCTGCCTCCATTCATGGGCCCACACAGAAGGCTCAAGGCTGATTAGGGTCAGGGTCATTGCTCAGAAAACCTTCTATCAAGATTGTCATTTTTAGAGAAGCTTGCGCTATAATTGTGGAAGGAATACACTTTGTCAAACATAAAGAAATAAAGTTATTGTTGTTATTATCTGCTGCAAGAATACCAAGTCCCGTATTTTCGGAATTCCTAAAGCATCTTTTTGCACTAGCTTCTGAGTATTGCAAATGTGACTCATCCAGTTAATACTTTAATTCCAACAAACCCCCAAACCTGCAGAAAATGAAATCCCTTATTTTTGCATAAAACCATTCAAAGATATAGAAAGGTTGCTGATGGAAATTGCCCAACCTAATGGTTTTTAAAACAACTCCAGGACAGGCAATTCCATCATTTAGGCCATGGGGCTTCATGCTTGTTTGGAATGGTTTTCCCTTCTCCAGATCCATGTATCTTCTCCTCACTCACTAAGTGGATCTGACAGTGAACAGCTTCATCTTGGGTTTAGGGACTCCTTGCCTCCCTCCCCTCTCCCGCCTCTTCCCTCTACCACTGGAGGACCAAGGTAGGAATGTGGGGACAAAATGGGCATTAGCTGTCTCAGATCAGGCCCAGTTGGGAAAACTTCCTAGAAGACAAGATCAATTTTATGATTTCTTGAATGAAAGAGGAAGCCCAGACTTACCTTGCAATAGCCCTGAACCCTGGGAATCCTTGGAAAGAAGAAATTCTTTAGACCAGGGCTAACTTCTATCTGCCTCCTCAGAATTAAAGTGGCCTTGGAGGGTATAGGGTCATCATTCACCTTGTCATTTTCTCCCCCACAGCATTCATCTCTGAATTCCTGTTTGATACATAGCTAGTGTGTGTGTATGTATGTATACACACACACATATATATACATATACATATATGTATGTATATATTATATATACATATATGTATGTATATATATTATATATACATATATAAACCACTTTAAGGTTTACAAAGTGCTTTAATTATGTTATCTCATTTAATCCTCAAGACAACCCTGGAAGATAGGTGCTATCATTATCAACCCATTTTACAGATGAGAAAATTAAGGTAGATAGCGATTAAGTGACTTGCCCAGGGTCCTACAGCTAGTAAGTGTCTGAGGCTAGATTTGAACTTGAGTCTTCCTGACTGCAAGTTCAGCACTCCATCCATTGTGCTAAGGATCTTGTCTTCTCTCAATCTAGCATGAAATCATGGGGTTTTTAGGGGGGACAGTAGAATTGAAGTATAGGCACACGGAAGCTGATCTCTAGAGCTGACAGGGGCCTTTGAGGTCCTCTAGTTGAAAGCCCTCATTTTGTCGATGAAGAAATTTAGGTTGAAGGAAGTAAATTGATACGCCCAAGGTCACAATGGTAGCAGATGTCAGAAGCAGCATCTTAATCCAAGTTATCTGACTCCAAAGTCAGTGAGTGCTTTCTCCACTGTCTTCTAGCACATCTAGTCTGATTTTATCGTGGAAACTGAGGCTCACAGATAACAAATGACTTATCCAAAGTCACAACAAATAGTCAATAGCAGAGCTTCCTTCCCGGGGTATCTGATTCTGAATCCAGTGTTTTCTTGACCATACACACATTCAACAGATGCTACTAATCAATGTCTGGTAACAAAAACAACAGAAATGACACCTAATGAAACAGCTGTGGCTTTGGATCCAGAAGTCACAATGTTAAATCCCACTTCTGCCATTTAAATATATGTGTGACCTTGTACAAGTCACATCATCTCTCTGAGCCTCAGTTTTTTCATTGGTAAAATGAGATGGTTGGACTATGCAGCCTTAAGGTCTCTTCCAGCTCTAAATTTATATTCCTAGGATCCCTTTTCAAGGCAAGAAGGGGAGGTTCTAAGCAGGAAATAACAGTGATTTGTATCCTAGTAAAAGTGAAGTTTTTGTTTTAATGGGTGAAAAAGGCAAATACCAAAGAGAAAACTTCAATATAAGCTCTTTGATATCACTTAACTAGTTTTCAGCCCTGTCAGCTGACCCTCGACCCTCCCTGAGACAGCATTCTCAAGATAACGTGTTCAAAATAAGTCAGGAGATTGAGGCTCAATGGCCAAAAAGGTCTACTCTATTGTCCCCTCCCTGTCATCTCTCTGCAGCGATGGAGATGGACACCAGGACAGCACCGACAACTGCCCCACCGTCATCAACAGCTCCCAGCTAGACACAGATAAGGACGGGCTGGGAGACGAATGTGATGATGATGATGACAATGACGGAATCCCAGACCTCGTCCCTCCAGGCCCTGACAACTGCAGACTAGTCCCCAACCCAAGCCAGGAAGATGTCAATCGTAAGGCAACAGAACCCATGGCCACTATGACTAGGGAAATACACGGACACGGTCACACATCAGCACACCATCACTTTGTTCTCCAAAATGGAGTTTCATTGATACCTTTTGTTTTTACATCAAAATAATTTCTAGACATACACCAACCCACCCCACTCAGTGAGCCTTGGATTCCAACAGAGAAAAAAATATTCAACCACCAACCACATTTGACAGCATAAGCAGAGTCTTTCACCTATAATCCTTGACCTATCCTAAGAAAGGAGGGTGTAACATTTCTTTCTTCTCCAGGGCCAAGATTGGCCATTATAATTACACAGCATTCATTTTAGCCTTATTTGCATTTAAATTTTTGTGGTCACTGTACATATTCTCCAAGTTCTACTTGTTATATCAGGTTCTTCCTGATATTTATCAGTTTTTCCCCTATTTCTATGAATTTCTTATATTCATTGTTTCTTTTGGAGCAAAGAGATTCCATTGCAGTCTCCTCTGTCAACAGTCTCTTATTTCATGTTTTTTTCCTACTGTACGAGATAGCACGTTCACTCTTCCAAAGGCGCTCAGGCCAAGGTGGTCACAGCTTTTTCATCTTAGACTTTCATAACTAAGTTTATTTCTCTGTATCGCTGTGACCTACATTTGAATCTCTATTGTTTGAGCCACAGAGGTCAGTAAAAAGGGAAGAGAAGTGTCCAGACCTATAAGACTACATATGTATGGACAAAAAAAATTGGACAGAATATTGCATACAGTGTCCACAAAGGGAGAAGAGCTACTGCTTTTGTTATCACCAAGGCCTTGATGGAGGGAGGTGAGGGTAGAAGGGAAGATGAGGCAGTGTTGACAGTAAGGTCCTTGAGGAGATCAGAGGTGACAGCCTTAGAGGGAGTCCACTGCCAGCTCTGACACCTTCCCTACCGGGAAGTCCTGAAACCCAAGCCAAGAAGGGACTGGGGAGAGGAAATATGGCCCTAGGAAACTTTGAGATATACCAGCTAAGGTTGCAAACTATAATATTTGTGTCCCTTTCTTCATTCAGGGTCTCACATTACATCCAGTTTGAGTAAAGCGCTGGGAAGGGATGGGACAAGAATGTTTAGCTGGATCTCCCGTTGATCCCCAGCTCTGTTTCAAGAGCTAGAACAGCTAATTCCTCACTGGGGTGGTGGGATAGAGACACCTGTCACCTGAAGGACTTGTCCTTGGCCTGGAAGTTGAAAGCAGGTCAGCTATTGGATGCTGCACAATGAGATTAGAACTTAGGGAAGGACTTTCTGTTCTTATTGTCTAACTTCATCTTTATCCTTATCTGGAAGAGATGAGTAGGGACTAGTGTCACCAAACCTTTCTCCTATTTCCCTGGTGCATCCAGGTGATGGTGTGGGGGATATCTGTGAAACAGACTTTGACCAAGACCAGGTCATTGATCGGATTGATGTGTGCCCTGAGAATGCTGAGGTCACCCTGACAGATTTCAGAGCCTACCAGACTGTTGTCCTGGACCCTGAAGGTGATGCCCAGATTGATCCTAATTGGGTGGTTCTGAACCAGGTGAGTTTGTGCTTTATTTTATTGGGAGGGTAGGATGCACATATGCCGTGCTTGTCTTTCCCCTCTAGGAGTATTTAGTACTCTGATTTTACCTATGTTTCTTTGGTCGGAAGTGACCCACTCCTATTATTATTAGTAATGTTACTGCATTTATGATTCTCTCCCTCTTGCCCCTCTTCCAAAAAAAAGGTGGGGAGGATTTCAGGTGGCAAGATCTTCCCAATGAACAAATAAATAAAATGAAACACAGAGGGGTTGAGTAGCATGCCCAGAGTCACACAACAGTTTTACATTTTTCTACCTGCAGGGAGCTAGGTAAAACCAGAAAGATAGGAAGTCAAACATGGCCTCAGACCTTACTAGTTGTATGAACCCAGCCAAATCACTTAACTTCTGTCTGCCTCAGTTTATTGTTGTTGTTTGGTCAGTTTCAGTCATGTCTAATTCTTTGTGACCCAATTTGGGGTTTTCTTGGCAAAGATATTGGAGTGGTTTGCCATTTCCTTCTCCAGCTCATTTTACAGATGAGGAAACTGAGGCAAACAGGGTAAAGTGACTTGCCCAGAGTCACACAGTCACAATAAGTGACTAAGGCCAGATTTGAACTCAGGAAGAGGAGTTTTTCTGACTCCAGGCCCAGAGCTGTGGACTCCACTGTGCCACCTAGCTGCTTCAGTTTCCTCATGTGTAAAATGGAGATAAAAATATCACCTACCTCCTAGGGTTGTTGTGAGGATTAAATGAGTCAATATTTGTAAAGCATTTTGCAAACCTTAAAGCTCTATATAAATACTATTTATTACTATCATTATTGTTCCAAAATTAAACATTTATCCTTTCAAGCTTAGGTGCCCACTTTATTAATCCTGCTTAACTTTTAGATATATGAGACCCTGTCCAGTGGCAAGACCTCAGACACCAAGCCTGGCCCAGGAGTCAAATGCATATTGTACGGTATCCTCTGGGTGTGCATCATCTCCTGCCACCTTGACATGAGGCAGAGAAAAAAGGTCCTGAACGTGAATCCAGCCAGGCCTAACAGGACCTGACTATCAGGTTCTTACTGACTTTTTTAGAAAGTAGTAGAGCAAGGATTACAAACAGGGCCTCCTGATTCCCAGTCCCTTTTTTTTGTTTAATTTTACTAAAGAAGGCATGGGAAAGTATAAAAAGCCCTAGATTTTATATATATAGAGAGAGATATATATATATATATATGCATGTATGTATGTGTATATATGCATGTATA